GGCAGATTTCCCCATAAGGTTCAATGTAAATATGGCTAATCCGCCCTCCGAATTTGGTCGCACCCCGAGGTAAATTTCCCCCATAAGGTTCAATGTAAATACGGCTAATCTGCCCTCTGAATTTGGTCGCACCCCGAGTTAAATTTCACTCATAAGGTTCAATGTAAATACGGCTAAATAGTTTTGAAACATATGCATTTTATTTTTAAACCTCAAAAACCTTCCAAACGCCACAAAAACCTTCCAAACGCCACAAAACACACCACAAGCCTCACCGAACGTCTCCTTGCTACCGCGATCTCGCCCACAGGAAGCCGCGACCGCGTGGCAGCAGGGAAAATGGCCGCGGATCCGGTTCGTAAGTAGAGGCGGAGTTCGCAAGTAGAGGTAAATTTTTGGGGCCGGAGCTGGTCGTATCTTGAAAAATTCGTAAGGAGGGGCGTTCGTAACTAGAGGTACCACTGTACTTATAGGAGACCTCTATTTCTTGATAGCACGAGAAAACCCAATTGTTAACATGATGCTTTTAATGACAGAAGTAGTTGCTGCTTCTGGCATGTTGTGATCCCACTGGCTTGAATCCAAAGCTATCTTTTCATTAGGAGAAATTCTCTGCTAATCCAGTGGGAGAGTAGAAAGGAGACCCAAAGTCTAGATATCTTCTGTTTGTCCTATCACATTTTAAGATACTTTAGGGCCCATACAATTTCATATGCTACAGACTTTATGCTATCTTTTTCATTCACAAAGAGTTCAATTTAGAGGTGTCTTTCCATGAATGAAGTTTAGGCCATACAGTAGAAACCATGGTTCAAGGAAGGGGAAGGGGAAGCCAGTCCAACTGTCCCTCCCTCTCTTCCACCACCTCCTATGCCACTTCCTTTTCCAGTGGGTTCTCCAACTTTTAGAAGGTGCTGGGGGAAAATCAGTAGGGACAAACTATACCTTGCCACTTCAGTTAGTGAAATTCTACGCATACAATTCCTGGCTCCATCCTTGTGTTTTTCACATTTCAGTGCAGGTGAAGTAGACTTGAAATAGATCACTAAGAGCTTATGATTTACAATTATTTAGCAATTTTAAAAAAAAACACCTTTTAAGCTATTGAAATGAGGAAAGTTAGGCATTGGAAACAGAGTACATTTTCTGTGTGAAAAAACTTGAAATTCAGTTTAGTACTGAAAAAAAATTTCTGGCCTGAGATCCACTCTACTGTTCCTCCTTCGTTAAGGTCTACCATGCTGTTGCATTTAGAAAAACTTGAGGTCAACCTGTAGGCTTCAACCTGTCTACTCCTGCAGCTGTAATTCAACTGCCAATCCATTGCGATACTGAACTTCAGGGTTCTAGACCAACCCCCTCTTGAGGCAGGCATTCACAAAAAAGCATTAATTCATTTTCTCATGCACTCACAGTTCTGTGGCCCTGGGCCACTAATTTTTGACAGGTTTTTAAAATATGGTAGAGAAGAACCTTAAAGGAAAATGTCTTGAGGAGGTGAGACACAGAGTGCTGGCAAAATGTGTGAGAAATCATTGCTGAAAGGACGTAAATGTGCATAAAAATGTATGCCATGGGAAACCTTAACTGCTGACTTAGTAGATTTCAAATAGAACTGATCTCTAAAACACTGAAAGAGAGAGAATGACAGAATACTTGAAGAAACAGGTTACTTATCTAGTAGGTACGGCAAAATGTGAAGGGACACACTGAAGGTCAGCTAAAGGAAGATCTGACATAAGTTAGCTAATAGGGCATAAGGAACAGAAATCTTTAATATAAATGATGAAAATCAGATTAAAGTGGACAAAAGGAATTGTAATTGTAAGTGAAAACAAATATGGAAATAAACAGCCTAATCATTAGTTTTGCTTTGCCAACAAATGCAGTACATTCTTGGAATAAAGTGCTTATCATATGTTTTGTGAGCATAGTCTGCAAATAACACAGTGACAGCTTAATAAATTGATCATTTCCATGAATTTTGTATGGTGACCTATAGTAGTTATATAAAACTAAATAACATTCATCAAATTTTCTACAGATACCACAAACTTTGATAGAGAAATGGCTTTTTAACATAGTGGTGATAAAGTACCCTACTAGTAGATAAAAAGGCGGAGCAACTGCATAGCAACACTCATGATGAAAGCAGGAGAAGATGTCCTCTATCTTTGCTCTAAGGAGGGAGTGGAAGGAAGCTATGCCATCTCCTAATGACAGTTTACTAAATTGCTGGTTTCCCAGATATTGAGAACCAGTGAGGAAAGAGGATTATCTTTCTAATCATCTCCTAGTGACCAAGCTCTAAATCACTGGATTCCAACAGTGGGGACCCACCAACCTTCCAGCAGGTGACTTGAGAAGGGAGGAAGCCACTTTGTTTCTCTGCCCCCACAGTGCCACTCATTAGATTCACTGGATGGTGTGGGGACAAGAGCAGTTACACAA